TCTTAGCCAAGCTTCAACAAGTAAGCCTTGAAGAAAAGAAGGACAAATTGCGAATAAAGCAGGAAAGTTCTTGCCGGTCGTTTTAAAACTATAACCACTTAACAAAAATCAAATTTTTGAAACCTTTGGCAACTGCTAATACTAGATCCCCGTTTAAGTCCATACACCGTGTGTTCATGCTGTACAAGCGAATCCACTGCAGAAAGAAACATCCTGTATTCACTTATGCAATGATTTCTCAGCAATTAGCTAAAGATAATTAACTGCAAATATTTGAAGCAACTGCTTGTGTAAGAACAAATAGCACAAGACACATGAAGGTAACGAAATACGAAATACACCCATGCACCCATTCATCGGGCGCAAAGTCACACCCCACGGTGCGCGTCGACTGCATCCGCCTGGCCAAAAGTCAGCCAAAGAGTGGCGGTCGCGCTTCACTGCACCGCTGAGCAAAGCGGAGCAGCGGTTGCTTTAATGACTACCAAATAACCAACCAAAACTGAGGCAATTGCAAGAATTTCAATGCCATCTGCGGTTCGGTGATGCGTGTCAAGTCCGAAGAGGTTTGCTGTGATTTCCCAGGCTAGACTGACTTGGTTTAGAATTGCGCTGGTGATTGCCACGTGGTATTCTGACTGCGTCGTGTGGTGCTGCATTTTATTGTCTTTGCTGGATAGCATTTGAATATTAATTGGTTTTAATTGCAGCGGGCCAAGTGTTGGCGTATTCATTTGCCTAATGATCCAGCAGGTTGAACATTGGTCAAATGCTCAGCTGGTCAATTGGCTGACTGGTTATGTGGCCAACACCCGCGACAGCTTTGTGGTAGAATTCGCTATAATTATGTTGTTTTACAGCTAGTGCAATTAATTAAACATGATTTGCTTATGAATATGGATTGTCGGACTACAAGATAAACGACTGCACGCAACACCTGCCGTATAATTAGCTGGCAACAACTTCACAAAAATTTATTTATATCCCAAATAAACGATTACTTTTGATAGCTACAAATCTGAACGAGAATAACTAAATATTCGCTGACAATCGACAAGACATTTGGCTTGCAATTTACTGCCGCATTTTGTTTTTTGTATTCTCCCATTTTGTTGAATGCCACAATTTGCATATACACATATTCGCATACATATGCATATGTACTGATAAATAAGAACAAACAGGCAGCAATTGCCAACGCCCACGCCCACCGAGTATTGTCATACTTATGACCGTAACTGTATGCCAGCATGTATGTAAGTGTCTTGAGTTTGTGACTAATTGTAGGGCATTGAGGGCCCTGAGCAACACCTTTGCTAAATCTCTTGAGCTTGCAGCTGCTATTCAAGAATTTCCCTTTTAGTATTTATTTTTTAATTGTAGCATAGAGGGTATTCTGAATGCCATTAAACTAAGTGCTAGAAGTTCACAGAGCGTATACGTAATATATTTACTGTAATGGCTATACAATGTGGAATTTTACAACTATATAGATCACAATTGAAAGTGCTTTTAAAATAGATAAATAATATATAAAAATGTTGTTAAAAGGAATCTTTAATTTTGTTAGAAACTCTTGATATTATGGCGGATAAAAATGGAAAACAAATGTGTTCAAATTGAATTATTCAAATTGGGTATTGCACAATTTCCAAAGAATTGAGCTCTAATAGCATTTATTTTCGATTTGTTTTTAATATTAAGAAAAACAAACAGGTGTTAATCTATGCTCAAAAGCACTAGCTTTAGCAGAAATTAATTGTTGAGAGCGAGTATATGAATATTTCGCAAAGCCAATCCCATTTCCCACTCGTTTAGCCTGCTGCTATATAATTTAAGCTATATTAAAACTAATTAAATTTTGTAATACGCTAATATAGTGTCATTTCGCCTGTAAATACATTTCGATGATATATGCTATTATTTTATTAACACTTTTATCCAGTTCTTGATTTATGCACATATGCCGCACAGCTTTGCGTGTAGCGCACCCATATGAAATGATAATTATAGCTCACAAATTGCAGGATAGGTGGGCATACACAAATCTGTAGATTGCACTTGAGCAGTTCAGCCCACATGTCGGCAAAAGAAGCAAAAAACAGAAAACGACAAGTTTACAAAAACTAATAAAATGAAAACGAAGGTGACAACGGGAATATAATTTATAATGTTGCGCATGCTGCAAAAATGTCAAAACACACCCGCCACGCCCCCAAGCAAACACGGCACACGTATGTATATTTTGTAGGGGGAGTTCAAGAGAGTAAGCTGCATTTGGTTTATTTAAATGAAATTGGCGCTGACGTTGCATTTGAGGCAAGCTAAATTAAGTTGCGGCTATGTGTGCCACATGCAACAAACACACACACACACACACCCATGCACACATGGGGCAGCAATGGATGGCGCCTATCGAATGCAAATGATCCAGCTCTCTGTGCGGCGTTCGTTATTAAATGTGTTTCTTGTGTTGTGTGTGGCAGGTAAAACAATAAGGCAACAACAACAGACGTTGCAAAGTGTGGCAAATGCAACATCAAGATTGAATGAACTCCAAAGAAATGCTGCAACATGTGGCAACAACAGCAATACTCTATTTTATGTCTTTTGTTTTGTACGCTGCGCTTTTGTTTTTAATTTGCAAACTTTTCGTTTCAGCCCGTTTTCGATGCAGTTCAATGATTAAAGAGGCAAAACGCCCAGAAATTGGTTTACAATTTTTTTTTGTTTTACGATTTTCGCTTGTGGCCCGTGGCATGTTGCAAGCCGTGGCAATTGCAGCTCCCTAAGCGTCGCACTAGCTTTAAAAAATTCATAAGAATTTTTTAATTTGCTGCCCATGCCGCCAAATTCAGGCCCCTTGTTAGCGGTTGATGTGAGCGCTTGCGGGCGTGGTCTGTGGGCATTTTTTTGTTTTCGTTTTTTTTTTTTGGAAAGGCACGCGGCGATAAGATCGAACATAAAATGTATATACACCAAATAATGAGTGCTAATTGTCCAATGCACGGAAGTTCAATTGCCCACACATTCGAAAAGCGTTCACAAACAGCCGAAACTCATAAAAAAAACCCGCCAAGATAGCAATTAAAATTGTTTTCCGACGTGGCCATAACGCTTGCGTCAATCGAAAGCAAGGTCAGGGCAGCATTTGCAGTGACAAACGCAAAATGCAGCAGCTATTGGCTAAACACATCGAGTATGCGTATGTGTGCCTATAGTATTTTTATAGCTATAAACCCGCTAAAATTTTAGCTGTATTAGCTGAGTGTCTAGCAACATGCATTGGCAACATTCGTCGCTCGTTTCGGCTGCCACTTCGGCTTTTGGCTAAAACCCGCTTCGAGCCGCGATTAACGCTGTAATTCGATTACTCTTGTGCCACATTGTTCTGCTATTGCTCTCATTGTAGTTACTGTTATTGTTGCATGTGTGCCTCTGTGTCTGCAAGTGTGTGTGTGTGTGTATTTGTTGCTCTGGTTATTACTTTTGCTTTTGTCTTTGGCTTGCGCAGTCGCCGGCGTCTCAGCCGACGCTGTCTCTGGCGGTATATATTAGAGCCGCCAACCGACAGTCAGCACAGTTCGTTAACAGTCCTAGTCGAGATTCTAGGAGGTTCAACCAGCGTCCAACGACCAGTGACTGTGTGTGTCGTCGTGTGTGTGTAGTTTGTTTTCTGTTACTTCCCAGCTAACCCAAATCCTTTAAACGGCCAACTACCGTTTTTAAGAAAACCCAACTTAACTTGTGATTAATATTTTGTGAACAAATATGAAGCCATTTGTAAGTAAAAACAATCTGTGCTTCAAAAATAAAATGCAAATAAGTTTTAAGTTATGAAAATATTTGGAATAGCGTGTGAAAAGGATCATTAGCTGCAATTTATGTGCCAAAGGCAACTACAGTGAGAGTATATTTGAGAAACTATATAGTCCTAATATGGCTAGAAAGGGTCTTTAAATAACGCTGCTTACTTTTCATTATTTATGTTATGTTCTATAGTATCTAGTTTAAAATTATGCCAGTTTTGTAAATAACTGAAGTGGATATACGAAAATAATAAATTGAAATAGCGTAATAGGATTGTCAGAAAGGAAGTTGTTGTTTTAAATTCATAATTTGCAATGTTCACCTATTTCGTAGGTTTATAATATCAGTACATAGTAGGAATATGGGAATATTATGGGTGTCTACTAATTGCCTAGAACGTAACTGAATATTCGCTTTGAAAATCAATATCAAAAGGAAAATAGGATTCAAAATTTACTTAGAAAATAAATTATACATTTTCCAAATAATGCTTAGTATTTACTTGGAAAATAGAGTTCTATTCCGATCTATTATTCAAAAGTCCTTCTTAAATATAAAATTTAGTTTTCCGGGAATGTTTCAATCTTACTCAATTAATATATAATTAAAATATAAAGTGTACGAGCTTAGCGACATTTGAAGCGTTTATTCTTCGACCATCATAGAAAAAGCTGCGGACTGTTTAATATGTTTTAGCTGCAGGTCAAATGACACAGAGATCAACCAGAAATCAGAAACAGTTGCCATCAACCACAACACAATTTTAATTGATAAGCCGTTGACATGTTGCATGTCAGTTAGTTTCGGCATCCCCAGGCGGCTCCAAGGCTGCTCCACATAATAATAGCCTCGTATGCGGTAATATTAACTACTCGGCTGGGTGGTGCGAGTATCTCGTATCGAACTCAAATCAAACGTTTCGCATGACGGCGCTTAGCAGCAGGCCAGAGATATGTAAGAGAGGCGTGTGTGGTTGGTCCGAGCCTCTCATTAGAGGCGGTCGGATTGCCAGCCAGGCGAAAGTGAAGCGAAAGAGAAATTGTTTTAGAGACTGACTGACCAAATGACTGACTGACAAGCACTATAATTGCGCCGCCAGGTGGCGCCAGCTGTTACGTATCAGCATCAACTATGGCATAAGCTTGGCTAGCTCCTAATTATACTCTCATTCTCTCTCCATTTCACAACAGTTGCTTGCCGCCGCGCTGCTCATCTCGACGGTGTCCGCCTCTTGGCATGGCGCTGTCTCCACACAGTACCAGCATCTGGACCCTCATAGCCATACCTATTCGTACGGTTATGCTGATCCCAACTCACAGAAGCACGAGACTCGTGCTCATGATGGTACTACGCGCGGCTCCTATTCCTATGTCGATGGACACGGCCATCTGCAGTCCGTAGCGTACACAGCAGATCCGCATCATGGCTTCAATGCCGTTGGCACCAACCTGCCACAAGCTCCAGCCGTGCACCATGCTGCTCCCGTTTATGCCGCCGCTCATTCCGCCTACGTGCCATACGCTCATCATGCGCACGGCATACACATCCCGGTGCTGACCCACGATGGCGTGCCCGTAGACACACCCGAAGTGCAACACGCCAAGGCTGCCCACGCTGCTGCCCATGCAGCTGCTGCTCACAATGCTGGCGCCCATCATCTGTACAAGCGTTCGATCTATGGCGGTGCTTGGGCCTACGGTGGTGCTCCTGCTCACGTGCCACTCACCCATGGTGGCGTCCCAGTCGATACTCCCGATGTACAGGCTGCCAAGGCCGAACACTATGCTGCCCATGCCAAGGCTCTGGGTCAAGTGGCTCATGCTCATGGCGCTCCCGTCGAAACTCCTGAGGTGCAACACGCCAAGGCCGCCCACTTTGCCGCCCATGCTGCTGCTCGCTCTGGCCATGCCATCGCTCCCATTGCCCACGGTGGCTACCATGTGCCTGTCATCCACAATGGAGTGCCCGTCGATACGCCCGAAGTACAGCACGCCAAGGCCGCTCACTATGCCGCTCTTTCTCAGGCCTCTGCGCACGGCAGCTCGCACAGCTCCTGGGATGATGGTCACTATGATGGCCGTTGGGACGCCAGCCACGACAGCCACGCCCAGAGCTATGCCACCGGCTATGCGCATAAGGGTCCCATCCACATCCCGGTCATCCACAACGGTGTGCCCGTGGAGCCCGCAGAGGTGCAGCATGCGCGCGCCGCTCATCTGAGCGCCCTGGCAGCGGCCAGTCACGGCGGCGCCTCCCACGGCGGATACTACGGCGGCTCTGCCCATGAGGACGATGGCCAGTACCATGCGCACTACAACCACTATTAAGTCGAGGATCTGCCGGAGTCTGCCATTAACCACAACGATAACGACGAACATTCCTACATAATCTGCCCGATATACTTCTGTTTCACTCTAACGACTACCGAAGCAAGCTAATGCTTACGCACTTGTCTCTTTCACGCTGCCTATCTGCAACTACATATCTGCATCTCTGTCTGACACACACTTGAACGGTTAACGACTACACACGGGAGATTTGAGCTGCTGTCTCACTTGCCCGCTACCCACTCTGACGCCCCAAGTAGAGCCTGATATCTTCTTTAACTTTCGAATTATCAATAATTATTTTCAACTCTTTTTCTCTATCTATATTTCTATCTCATTCTTGCCCACTCTTAACTGTCACTATCAGACTTGCTCATTCTCTAGTTGTGCTCTTTCCACTTTCTTTTCTTCTATAACCGCCCGACTTATTCTTGATTCGAGCAACGCTAAACGAGTATGTTGTAAATAATTGTTGTAATTTTCAATGTATCTTGCACTAGATATGTATCTATATATTATATGAAACTGCAAACAGACAAATAAACTGCAAAAATGTATTTGATCACAAAATCAGTTGCATCTTGATTCGGTGAGTGAAATTACTCAAGGTGCTTAAAAGGCAGTACTCGCAAACTAAAGAACCCTTTTTTAGTTAAAAAATCCGAAATAAAAGTAGGATTTTCTAAAATAAGATATGTTCGTGTCTTGGAACTTTTAATTAAATTAATTATATCTTGGCGATTTGTATATGAAAATTTAAAGGGACAGTTTTTTAAAACTTTTAAAGGCTGTCCAGCGGCAGCTTGTAGTGTAATGTAATCTAGGAAATTTAAATTCTAGGAATCTTGCCTCCCAGAAATGCTGAAAGGTCTGCCTTTCTGTCCTTTTCTTTGCAAGATTGCGTTCAGTTTTTTTTTATGAGTTACCTAAGGCAGTTTTTGCAGGTCTTTTTCCTACGCCACATGTACATTCATACAGACAACTTAAATATAGTACTTATGAAGTTGGCTCTGTGAAATATTCATTGAATTGGATAATTCGCTTTACTTGTATCACTTTACCAGACTATTTTTAAGAATGTCAGTCATATAAAATAATGTCAGTCAAATATAAAATAGACCCGAGTTCCGAGAAGTGTGCAAAGTTCGCTTGGAATGCATTTTATGTCTCATCTTTATTCACAACATTGCGTTAATGAACTACGAGTTTATTCAATGAATTTCCATTATATCCGTTTACCTTTCGTCCAGGTGTTTTTACCGTTTGAATTGCATTTCATATTCATTCTATATGTTCACATCCTTTGCAATTCCATCAGAATGTTAAAGTCTGTAAACCTTGTCACATACACATACTCATACGATGACTATTCTTGGCGAGCAGCACAAATACGTGTACATATGCTGATGTATTTACCGTGCTGGCGATTGAAATGTGCATATGCCATTGAGCTAGAACACAAAAGTCTGGCGTTTTCGACGGAAATGTTGCCAAAGGTTTCAGTGAAAGCGTCGAGCGCAGACAATCAATCAATACGTAAAAGCGAGTGTGTGTCATTTTCATTTTTTTTGATTCCACATTTCCACGTCTATACTGTGCGGTTACATTTTCGCTCATAGCTATTTGCGGGTAATTCAGTAACAAATATGTAATAGCCGTACGTGGCTGCATTTCAATTTGTGCGAATGCTTGGTGTTGGCCTCGGGCTGAAAGGAATATGCAGACCTCATGCCAGTGGGCCATAAATTGAAATGCAACCTTTGCACTAATCAATAACCTTGGCGGCTCGCCGTCAATTACAGGGAATGCCCCCGACGTGGCCAACTAATTAAAAATTAACAATCTACGTCGCACACGCAAAGGTCACAGAACGGGTGGCCGACACTGTTCGATTTTGGACGCATAAATAACAGAAGGGTCACGAAGCCAAAGCCCAAAACCCTTCTGCCTGCCTAAAAATGGTCGCTGTAGATTAAACCAGTTTCGGAAAGGTAGGCTCTAAAATGTAGCTATTAAATTAGACATGCATTTTGAAGTAGAATTCATGGCGAGAGCAAATGGAGTTCATTCGATTGACCTTCGGCTGGTGCTGGCTCAGGTGCAGCAGTTTGTTGTTAAGGATCTGGTCTTTGATTTGATCGAATCTAATTTAACTGTGCTTAAACAAAAGAAAATAAAGTGCAATCGAAATTATTTAAATTGCAAGCCACCGTTTAAATGGCCAGCTCAGAATGTGTGGCAGCAGCAACAGTTGCAGGCGTTGCAGCGGTAGCATGACCGTATCGTTTGTACAGCTTGCCACAAGTGGCGAGGCGTGGCCCACCCCACGTCAAAAGTGAATGTGCTACATTGTGGTTGTTTTTGTTGTTGCTGTTGTTGCAGTTGCTGCTGGCGCAAATCATTTTTGCCAACTTTATTATTGCAATTTTTGGCGTTGATTTGCACAAGTGGCAGGCAGCTCGCTTCTTGCTTCTTGCCCCGATTTACCTTATTGTTTTTTTCCTTTATGCCATTTCATATTTCAATGGAATTGAAGAATTTCGTTTTGGCTCATTTGCATGCGGCTTCAATTTGCCAACCAGTTGGCTTTGTCGTTGGCCAGAACAACGCTTAATTGGAGGGTCAGCTCCAGCCAGACCAATACTGCAACACAGCAACAACAACAACAACAACGACAACAACAACAACAACAATGAAAAAGGCTATGTAAACAAACGCCAGGCAACAATTCGAATAAAATAACACAAAGCCATTTTCAGCTGTTGGTTCTCTTCTACCTCTGACAAATTGATATACACTACTTTTTCATTTTTTTTTTTATTTGAGGTAGGCGTTTTGCAACGTTTTGCATATTTTTGTTTAAAGTGGTTTTTAGGTTTAACTTAAATTTAATTCGAGGTTGAGGCGTTAATTTATGGCCTAATTGATCCAATTTGAGAATATGTAAATCCAGTCAAGTGTTGAAATCACGTCGAAACATTGTTATTAAAGAAACGCTGGGCTATTGTTAAATTTTTTAAATTTAGCTGAAAAGAGTTCCACCTGAGTGAGTTGTAATCCTTGGAAATTCGCGAGAATTTATGTATAGTTGTGATTTGATGAAAAGGCACATTCCTGAAAATGGGACTTCTAATGAAATTTAATTATGTGTGGCTGTGGTTTGCATTAAAATTATATTTATATTAAAAATAGCAAGTGCTTTTACGGTTACAAAGCAAAACTTACTCAATATTTAAATGAATATAAATAAATTTACCTTCAAATAAATTTAAAATTGAATGAATATATTCCTTAATCATATTAAATCTGTATGCTGATTAGGCAGAATATGCAATTTCAGTTTTTAAGTCCTGTTCTATTGTCCAGCCGCAACTGCCCGATATACAAATGTTTAATTGTTTCCATACCCGCTTAATTATCTCTGACAATAACAAAACCAAAGTTTACACAAATAAAGTAGATGCTCGAACAATTTAAAACAACACGCGAAGATAATGTAACACAATTTACTGCCGCTGTAGTTGATGCAGCAAATGCGCTGAACATTTCGCGCATTTGCACAACAAAGTAAGCAGCGAGAAATGTGAAATGTGAAATGCGATTGCCGAATGCTGATTGCTGTCTGGCAAACAATTTTCCACGGTTTTCCTTTTCATTTGCGCCAAATGCTGCCGCGGGGAGGCATTCAATGCAGCAAATTGCTGCATTCGCTGCATTTTGGTGTTGAACGTGCACTGCAACAAGCTGACAATTTGTCGTATATGCAACAGCAGCAGCAGCAGCAGCAGCTGTCAAGTGCAACAATATGGAAAATATTGAATATTTGTCAATTTGTTGTTGACATGTGGTATTAAACTAACATGCCCTCTCGCTCTTTCACTTACTCTATTCCTTTCCTATTAGTTTGGCTCTTAATAGTATGCAAATGTTTGTTGCCTGCTTTTAGGCATGTGAGTAATTTATGACGCTGTTGAAAGCTGCTGTCAAAAGCTCATTAATGTGACACACAATTATGCAAAACTCCAAAAGCTAACAACAACAAATTCTTGGACATGAGCACAGTGGTAGCCGGAAATGTAGGACAAGCTTATTTATTGCTATTTCAGAAAAGTTTAAATTGCTGAGATAATGCCGTTAAATAATGCCGGAACAAGGCGAGTGAAAGAGAGCGAGAAAGAGAGAGAGAGAAAGAGAGGGAGAGAGCAAATATAAATCTCGATTTTCCTTGCTATTGTAAATGTCAAGCAGCTGTGGCTAGGCTAGAACTTTGTCCAGCTGCTGCTCGCCAGTTGCTTGGCCCAGTTTGTAAACTGCAAGGATTTATTGCAGGCCTTAATTGCATGCTGTGCCAGAGCTAAGCACTATTATATATCTATATGGACACAGAGTAGTGCTTGCGTTTTGGGCATTCTCGAATTTTAATATTCGTTTGCTTGATTCTCACATAGTTGACTAGTCCTATGGCTAATAGAGACACTTAAAAGGCTACGTTGAACTGGCTGCTGATGGCACAGGACATTTGCTTAGACCACGGCGCTGTAAGCGGAGAATGTGAGCATTCATCAAATCAAGTATTTCGAAACCTTCTTACATCAAATTGTTTTCCGGCTGTGGCCAAACGGGCGCCGGAAGTAGGACAGCTGCTGGTGCTGGTTGTGGTGCTGCGCCACCGGCACCGCCGCCGCCGCCGGCCCCATTGCGTGCTCCTTGACCGCCTTTGCCACCTTTTCCACCCTTGGAGCCATCTGGTCCGTCGGGTCCATCAGCGCCATCGGCACCGTCCTCGCCATCCGGCTGTGCACCGGCTGGACTGGGTGCACCGGGCTCGCCGTTTTGGCCATTCTCGCCGGATGTGGCTGTTCCACCGCCACCGCCACCTCCTCCGGCGCCGCCACCACCAGCACCGCCACCGCCCCCGGAACCGCCACTGCCTCCAGCTCCGCCCAAAATGCCACCAGCTTGTCCTGCCTGCCCTGCGCCGCCTCCGCCGCCTCCGCCACCGCCACCATCACCACTATCGCCACCAGATCCTGCACTAGCCGCAGCAGCAGCACTTGAAGCCGCCTCATCAGCATCACTACCTTCCGCAGAAGCAGCGTTGTCAATTGTCAGCGCCTCGTCATTCAAGCTGGCGTCTACGGTAGAGGACTCCACATATTCGCCCTCCAGGCCCGGCTGTGGCTTCCACAAGCCATCATCTGCGTTAATTGGCGGCTTATAGCTGCCATCATCCTCTGGCGGCTGCACAAGTAACAGGATTGGCACCGGCTGTGCTACTAAATATGTGCCAGACACTGGCAGCGGTAATGGGACCACATGAGCCGAGCCACAATCGATGTGGTGGGCGGCCAATAGGGCCACAAGCGGCAGTAGCAACTGCAGGTGTAAATTTTCGAAATCTCCGAAACTGGCATCAATAAAATCCAATTAATTGCTTACCGCTGTTGTTCGCATACTGTGCGTAAATGAATGGCAAATTATATATCCCTTTTGAGTCCGATCTCGGCTGAGGCTGAGGTGGAACTGACTCCATTGGTCATGCCCTAACGATGCTTTTATATATTGTCTGCTTGCTGTTCGATTGATTAATTGGAACTGGGTTACGAGTAGCGACATTGTCTATAAATGGTATCAGCTTCTACTCTAGCAATGCAATCGCATAAATCAAGTTCGATCCCAGTTAATTACAGCAAAATGCACTATTATAATCTTACCAACAACAATTACGCTGCACAATGACCGTGTTAGTTTGTCCAGTGTAGTTCACAGAACACAGAACAAATCAAATACGCAGTTTAGTTTGCTCTGAATGAATATTTCTTATGCTAGGGGTATTCCCCAAGGTCAGCATACTTACACCAATACCTTCTCATTTCCTCTGCTCATGAAAAAGAAAAATTTCAATAAAATGTCGGCAACTGCTTGGATAAATAAATGAACATTTATTTGCTATGTTAGGGGTATTCCATAGGCGCACTTCCTAAAAAATAATAATTTGGATAAAATGTTACCAAATATTTGATAAGTAATAGAATGATTATGCCCGAGGTGTTCCCCAAAAATAAATACCTTTTAATTTCACATTTTCATTGTTAATAATAATGTGGGTAACATGTTAATACTATATTATTATTAATAGCTTGTCATATCTGTGTCACTGATACCATAGGGTATCTGAACTATCCAATGCTGCAGCATTACCTAATCGAGATTCTTGAAATTTCTCACTAGTTGATCTACTAATAAATAATTAAAATGCCTTCCCACTGAAATGCGCCGCTGTCAGCGGTGGCAGCACCCCGAGATAAGATGCCATTCATGGCCATGTGCCGGCAGTCAAGAATCTGAACTCTCTGAGGAGGCAGCAGTCCGCCAAGCGGCTTAAAGTGGCGTTGGCGTCGCTGACTCCATGGCTGGGGCGTGATAGCATGTGAATTGTGGTCGTGTTGGAGGCAAAAGTGGCGTTTGAAGAGTAGCCCAACCGGTTTCTGTATTCAGCGTCGCGTGTCAAATGTGTAACACAGTGGTGGCAAAAATTAAGTGCTAGCTGAGGGGCAATTGTGGCTGCTGGGGTTGCTGTGCCGCCTGATAGCTTCTTCTGGGCTTCTCATAAATGATGAGCAACTATTAAACCCTATGCAGCTACGACTAAATCAATTAAGCCAACAAGCCCAAAGAACAACAACAACAACCATAAGGGACTGCAAGGAACGAGTAACGGCAACGAGCCCATTATCATCATCATCCTCGTTCTCGCCTTGGCTATGTCCCCATGCTCATTCTTAACATTCAGCTACAAAGCCCGGAACATTATTCACAGCAACAAAGGGGAGGGCGGGCGAGCTGGCAACTTAGTAAAACTAAATTGTTTGTGCGTGTGCCACCAGCTGATAAAAAGACGCAGCGTGTGCGCTCCAAGGAGTGTGGAGCCAGTTAGTTAGTTGGCTAGTTAGCCAGTAACACCCCCTCCATCAGCTCGGACAAAGTTGCAGGCAATTAGCCCTGCGTCGGACTTTGGAACGCGACTAGCACATGAAATGATGCCAACGCTGCGCATTTGGTCATAACATTTGACTGAGATTCAATTTTGCTGGCATTGCAAATATTTTTGCGCCTCAGTGTGGCCATTGACCACTGTCCAAGGTGGAGCTGGTGGCGTGTGCTATTAATCAAAACTGAGGCGCCAATCGACGAGCCGCAGACGCAAACAATGCGCTTAAATATGTTGCCCATAAATGGCTGGGAGCCCAGCAAGGAGGCGACCATTCATTCACACATATCCTGGCCGCTCCTAGCCGCACCCTGGCCACGCCTTTGGGGTAGACGCATATAAATAGTTTTGCTGGGGACTCGACGGTGCTTCATTTGTTAGCTGACTGACAGCCAAGTCAAGTTGACGTTGCCATCGACTCTGCACGCGGACAGTGACAACAACAACAACCACAAACAACAACAACAACAACAACAACAACAACAACAAACAACAAAGGGATTTTTGTTGTCGTTACTCTGAGACACAAAAAGGCTTCTACGTGCCTCGCATGTGCGTTTTGTGTGGGCGTGTATTGCCACAACACTAAGGGGAAGACCGCACGATGCGCAGATCGAAAACAGTTTACAGAAATGATTACCACTGGGCGAATGCCTAATGAGCAATGTGGCGTATGTGTGATGTATTGCTGTGTGCCCTGCACAGACGAATGCCTGGCAGAGTGTGTGAGCAGCATCCCATGGAGCTGTCAGTGGGTATAGTCCATCACCGTCATCAGTGTGCTACATGCCCGCAATTGTAAATTCATTGTACACCCATGTGTTTAATTAAAAGTCTAGCTTTGCGCTTATTGCTATTGCTATTTATATGAAAGAAATGTATTTCATGCTACCCGTAATCATGTGTGTAATCAGGATTAATTTTTTTAAAATAAATACGTAAGAGAGGCAGCATGAATCATTTCGACTTTTATTACTTCCGCTAACAGAAACCTCACTTATAACATTATAGCTAGACTAGCTATAATTTATTATATATGAGCAAGGCGCCTAACCAACTATCTAACCTCAGCCTGAAAAGTTATTGATTTTTATTCGAATACAATGGAGCTTCAAATGTGTACAAGATTACTAAGATAAAGACCTTTCAAGGTCAATAAAATGTATAGCTGATGTGGGATAAGTTAGGGCAACTTTTACTGTGTTCTATTCTGTAATCTATATCTATGATAAAGCTTCTACCGCAGCTGATTATTAGCATTAGTTGTGCGAACGATAAGAACATTTCTGTTGAGCTCAATTGTTCTCAAAGAAATCCCTCTCCGCTTCTAAACTTTGGCAACAATTCTCATAAATACTTAACTCATGTGAGCGTATCTATCATTCTAAATGCATTTCCTTTTCACCTTTAAAATAAGCCATGTAAGATGATTTATGATGCTTGTTGAAATACTCCTACACGACGCTGACACCACAAAAACGTATTCCCTGAGCTGAACTTTGACTGGTCTCAGTAAGTGGTATATAGAAGCCAAAAGCCCAGAGCATGACATTTACTGGGGGCGTCAAGTGTCGTCACAGCTGTCACAATATGCAGCATGCTGAAAGTGTCGACATAGCCATCAATAACAAGCGAGTGTTCAGTCAGACAAACATATTATAGTGCCGACGGAGTAGAGCACAAAACAAACCGCATTTAAATCATAATAAATCATAGAACTAGCCGTCAAAATTTACTTCCATGCCATTTGCTTCAAATGTTAAATGCATGAAAGCTGCGGTCGCCGCATTGTTCACATTTGCCGCTGGCGCTTTTCACGCCATGCGTCAGCTGACAATTTGACATTAGTTTAGCAATTGCAGTTGACAATAAAATGCATAAATATGATGTGCGTCATAAGCGCTTAAATTATGTCAACAATTATAACTATTTGCACCATTTACAAAAACAAAACTGTAAAAGCTAGAAAGCTGCAAGTCCGGAAAGTTGTGCCCGCAAATGTGGAAAATGTTTAGTAAAATCTTTGAGATAAAGTTCATTTGAGACGTGTTTCCCACTATTTTGGGGGTTCAACGTTGCATGGACGAAAGTTAAAGTTTCGTCTAATCACCTTCAAATCTTTTTTAGAAGAATTACATATGCACTTATATATATTTCTATGTATGTTTGCATGCAGATATGTACGTATGTATGTGTACAATATGTATGCAAGTGAACATGTATTTTAATAAGTATTTTCTCACGAATATTCATAGGATATACTTTGATGTTAAATGCCATACTTACATATTCTTTAGAGCGTTTTTCTGCTCATTTTTTGGTAAGTACATATTCTTATTTATATTTATTTATCAGTAAGTGCAAACAAAAAAATAACAAAATTTATATCTAATTTTATTATGTTAATTACATTTATAGAGAAATTACATAAATTCACAAATTTTCATAATAATCAGTTTAGACTTAAAAAAGAATTTGTATGGAAAACAGTTTTTAGAAGGAGATGAGGAGGCTTTTCTACGAATTTCCCGTTTGCTCTTTATTGTACGCTTGATATATAGGATTCAATTTCTCTAGCAAATATGAGTCATCAAAAAAAAAGAAGAAAAGTACATATATATCAAATTAATAATAAATTGCAACGATGAGCCGCTCATCAGCCTGTCTGACGAGCATTGTAAAATCGTCTCAAGTGTTAAAGTTATTAAACAAAAAGTATATATATAGATTTATGAGACCGTATACAGATATTTGCACACATTTTTATTGGACTCATATACTTGTTGCCCATTAAGTGGGCATAAAATAAGAAATAAAATGAACTGAAAGCGATTACAAAAAGCTCGTCGAGCCGTATAAAATGCGTGAAACTGAATGTTTGGGCACTAACAAGTGTTGCAATATTTTTATTGTTTTTATTGAGCGCCAACAAATTGGTTTTGCTTGAGTCAGTCAGCCGCCTATGTTGGCTTTTATGATCATATCATAACGGAATTTTTATTATTTCTTTAGTTTTCTGTTCGACTTTGATTGCATTTGTTGGCATCGTCCCGTCCCGCGTTCCTGTTATGAACTGAAGGCGTTTATTGGTTTTTTCACGCCATTGCTAATGAGTAAAACATTTACGAGCTGCCCCAACACCCCCAAATCCCGGCGGCTAACAAGTAACAACATCAGCAACAACAACAGCTAGGGCAATTCTTTTCGCTTGGTCAACTTTATGTGTAAGAGCTTTAAGGCCAACAAAATTTGTGCTGTTTAATTTAAGGCAGCTCATGTGCAAAGCCCTGAGTAAATCTCTTGTAACCAAGAATTTGCTATTAATAGTACTGTTATTCAAGCCCAGCGGGGCTTATCATCAGCCTGTCGCCATCTTGTCTGGCGCTTTCTTCGCAAGAACCGCAAGTATCCGCCCCTGGTGCCCATCCATCAATTTGGTCTACTTTATCGATAAGCAAAGCATTAGCCTGATCCCTCATCGTCCTGTAAGTATGTGTGGGTGTGGGTGTGGTTATGATTTGGTCACAGTTACTGATAATGCGC